CTCAATTCAAAATGAGTGTATCGGTCTCCATTTTCATTGAAAAGCCATTACATTGAAGTGAGAGGAAAAACAGAGTATATTAACTTCTAATTTCTGCACTCAGTCTTTTGTTTACACATAAGAATTTGTATACTACATGTAAATGTGTTTGAGCCAGAAACAATTTGCTCCTGAGTATTGAATGAGATTTCATCTTATTTGAGATGACAATACAAGGATGAAGATAAGGCTTTTGTTGATCTAACGAAACTAAAAACACGAGGACTCGCCACTCCTTGCCAGAAGGAGAAATAATGTCTGGATCCTCGGAAGTGTCAGTTCCAAGTGACGTATACAGCAATGAAGAAAATGTTGTGAACGAAGCTACGCGTGTAGCCTATAGAAGGCTGCTGTGACCTACCGTAATATTGTAGTTCACCCTCGATATCTTTTGTGTACAACTGAGTAGTAACACATACCATCCCACGGCAATGCCTGAGGCTTTTATTCGCCACTTGTTGGGATCGAATCTCGGTACCCCGATGAAAATACTTGGTCATTTGCCTTGAAATAGATGCCTATTGCTTGCTTCCATACCGCTCCCTTCCAGAAAGATGGCTAGAACAATAAGGGTTCCTTCTCGTATTCGAGATTTATCTGGTTCCAATCTCAGTATTCCATATTCCAGAGCTCCTACTACAAATAAAACCTGGCATTGTTCTTCGAAATGGCTTCGGACATAAATATAATTACGTTTTAATTTGAGTTCTCAAAATTTATCTGAAATGCTTTATCTCAACGTTTTCCTGATGCTGTATAAATTTATGTAATTATCAGAATCGTATGTCTGAAACAAAATATTTGTTTTTGGTTTACAAATATTTTATTCAATTAATAAAACAATTGTAATATTGATATTATTTTACTTTTCAATTTAGTTAATGTACGTATGGCACAAGAATTAATCTGGCTTAATAACCATTGTCCTCTTTACTCAAGAAGTCTTTCGATGGCTCAATTTCTCAACCAAGGTAAGGTTCATGCTACCAGAAGCCATTTTGAATAGGAAGAGGGTAGATAGCCTAATTTATGATAACTGAATAATAATAGTAATAATTAATAGGCAAGTAAATAAAAGCAGAAACTCTTACTTCCATGGGACATACGCTTCTCAAATGCTTGTTAAAATCATAAGTTTATGTTGAATGTCTGAGAAACTTAAACTGATTCAAGTATCTGGAGTTTAAGTAGCATTGTTGGAGGAGACTTATCAAGAGAATACTGTTCTTATTAAATCGCTAAGTCTTTCTAAACAGATACTTCAAGCACTTCCAATTATCTGTTCCATTCTGAATGATCATTTGTATTCTGATACTTCGTCTTATGTATGCTTATAGCCAAATAGAAACAGTTATTTCGTTCAGCACATTAGCTTCTTGGGAAGAAAGCCACATCACTTCAAAATATAAAATATAAACACTGTGTTGTGAGAGCAAAGACGCCTTTTTCCAGAAGAGTGTATGTTATAGCAATGTATATTAGCGTGGCCATAAATTTTAAATTTCAGTTAGTACTCTATATATTATTTCATTTGGATATCGGTTTATTTAATGATGGTCTGTCAGCAGGTTTATATGTTCGAATGAAGAAGACTTGGTTACAGATAATAAGTTTGGAACGATATGGGAAGAATTTATACCGGACCATTTTAAGGCAGTCAAGTATTTGACTGAATGAGCAAAATAAAGAATACCTCAGTCAGGATAACAGATCTACTGTCGTTAATACGTATAACGATCTCGTAACTCCATGCAGTAGTGTCATTCTTCAGTAGCTAATAGTCGTTCTGTGGGCAAGAAATTACCCGGCTTTTATGTAACTCGAATGATAATGGCTGCGTCCACAAGAGGCTGTCACTGGACTCTATCCTGATTCACATGAACCCAGTCCACATCGACATATACTGTTGTTGTAAGATACATTTTAATATTGTTCTTACATATATGCCCAATACAATACTTTTATTTTCCGTCGTTACACAAGCTTGTTGTTAAAAATCATATAAAATTTCACATAAAATTGTTACATTTTAAAATTGACGACATGTTTCGATATACAATTCTATAGACCTGACGATGATAGAATTGTATATCGAAACATGTCGTCAATTTTAAAATGTAACAATTTTATGTGAAATTTTATATGATTTTTAACAACAAGCTTGTGTAACGACGGAAAATAAAAGTATTGTATTGAGGAACACAAGCATGATGCAATTAAGATATAAAAAAAATATATGCCCAAGTTTCTGAAACAGTCATACATTTTCAGTTATTTGTTGCAGTAACTCCAGGAACTGAAACAGATGTGTCTTCTTTATGTTAATTAACAGTTCAAATGTAGCTTCTCATATCACAAGCTAGCAGTCCATAATTTATGGATCAATGGAAAAGACGGGTTCGAGCCGAAATCCAAGTAAACTGGTGCCCTGTTCAATACTGGTTACGGAATAAAAATAATATTGAATGACAGATAAAGTACATACTTTTAGCGTTCATAATGAGAAATACATTTCTTTGTAGCGAATCAGATGAACTGAACAAATCTTTTTCTGCACACAACTTGTATGATCTTAACTGAAATCCGCAGAGCTTTCATTTTTACCCATTTTTAAACGTAATTTCTTTTGGCGTCATCCGGGCTTGTATGTACCAGCCACAATTTCATAACCCTTGAGACATTTTATTCCGAGAAGAGACAAAAATTTGATTGTGCAGTGGCAGCCAAATGAAAAGGAGAAAAGCGAAAGAACGGGTTATTGAATTAAGGTTGTAGTTCCCTAGAGACGGTGTGAATTCTGTGCAACGTAAAGAAATTAGTGTCGATAGCGAAGAGCTTGCTGCAGTGGAGAAAATGATGATGAATGGTCGGAGACACACGTCCCTCGTGAACAGAAAACATAAAAGAACAAAAAAAAAACACAACAACAACAGTGACTGCAGTAGTTATTAAATAAATTAAAATAAAATATAATCAGCCTTATTATAGATATGCAGAGAAATGAAACTACAATGATATAACCCAATATCGCAGATAAATTTATTACTTTTAATTAGCCAGATTTTGTCCCGCGAGGCAGATACTAATTACACACGACCAATTAGGATTTAGTAACGCTGAGTAACAAATTTGCATTTTTGAAATAGAAAGTTGAGAAGTATTTCCAACTGGCTGACATTCGACAGATATGGTCCCAAGTCCTAGTTACGAAAGTACCAACCGTAATAAACCGAATTCAGATATATTACTAATTGATACACTGCTATATTTTTGTCTTACGAAAAACAGCTCGGTATAGGCTACACAAGGTACAAACAGTTATACATCACGTATTAGAAGGAGGTAATATTTGTGATCTGACGTATATGTATCATAAGCCAGATAATAGGCTATGTCTCTCCGAATGAATTAATATATAATAATAATAACACAACAACAACAACTGACATCTTAAGGAAGATCTTGACGTAAGTGAGGCCGTTTTAAATATAGAGTTGCACTCCGACGTTAATAATGATAGTAATGTTTTATTGTTCCTGAAAGCAGTACCATTTTGAAGGTTCACAGTGGCATCAAACCTGTCAAATACGGTAGTACATGGAAGTAAGATTAGCTTCACGTTCTGCAGTCCTTGTGAGAAGTTTGGCTTTATCGCGGGTTCTAGTAAGCCTGTCCATTTCGTCATGATAACGGTTTCAATCGATTGCGAATTGTAAGGCTTTCTGTTGAGATTACGTCAGCAGTCGGTGGATATTATGGTACATTGCGATTGGCGTTACTAGTGGTCTGAAATCTGCATGTGACTTATAGAAGATGTCGTTGTAGTGGGTTATTACAAGAATCTGTCTACAACGCATAGTTAGCCTTGGCGAGTCTTTGTTTACAAATCAAATCGTTTTGGATTTTACCACGTGTCACACTTTGAATGACTATGTTATTGACGCTCGCACATGCACACATAAACATACTTATTTTACAACCACCGATTTTGAATAATAGTTTACATCTCGAATCATTTCTCCGGTTTATAGTCTGGGTTACGACATTCCGAAGTGGTATCTAGGTCCATAGAATTTTAGCTGCATCCTGACTATTAAGCTATTTTAACGAGGTTTTGTCGGCAGAACGTAACGTCATTGAAACGAGGACTTTTCTAGGTGTGTTTCACGCTCTGGCGTGAACGAATAATTCTTATAGGGCCCATGTATGTCTCTCTCTTTGTCGCATTTTCCTACGAGGGTACGCAATCTGCATGCCCGGGAGGCATTTGAAATTCGAATAGGTTTGTAACTTTCGTAATTGTGACACAGTAGCATCTGCATTTTTATGTTCACAATTAATTTTGCAGTTCGCAGTGACTGATATTTTATCAAAAATGAATCAGAACACTAAGATTTGATAAAGCAGAATGATCATGTCGGATGCAGTAACTGTAGGTATTAAGTAAAATTTAAATGTTACGACGATTTCAACGGACCGTCATGCGTCTCTCTTACAAAATACTTTATGATTGTTCTGAAAAGCACAATTCTTTTGGGATTCTGCATGCCACTGGTATGAGAGATTAACTAAAAAACTTTAAAACAAATAGGAGAAAAAGAAATGTTCCGAAGTTTTGGTCGTGAAACCTAAATGACGAGACCACTCTGGAGACGTAGGTGCATGTGGGTGGATAATAGAAAAGTAAACTTAAGATGCGGACTGGATTAATCTATCTCAGGTGGGGCCCAGTGGCGGACTGTTATAAACAATAGATCTTCGGGTTCCATTAATGGCGGAGAATTTCATGACTAATTGAGACACCGTTAGGTTCTCAAGGATTCTGCTCCGTAGATTTGGAAAACGTTTTAGCATATATTATCAATTTATCTTTCGATGTCTTTAACGCGGAATTCTACTGTCACACAAATTAAGCACAGATTATTAGCTAAAGGTGATAATTATGAGAAATCGTTCCTTACGTCAGCAGGTGGTGTCGATCTCCTAGTTGATGTTCCTCGATGTGACGCTGACTGCCTCCCTCGGACAGACTGCACACTGAGGTCCTTTAGTGCTTTCCTCTGCTAGTCCCGCCGGATATGCGCGCGCTTAAAGAGACGCGCACAGACGCCATCGATTCCTCGGCTCTTTCAGCTTTCAAACACCACACATATATGTTCTAAAACTTCAAATAAATGTTCGGTACTTGGCTGTCAGAGCGCATTAAATAATATTTACAGTAAAGACATAAATGTTGAAATGTAGGTCATTTGAATTTTTATTGACATTTAGGTCAATGTTTACAAATACTGTTTAATATGGGAGGGACATTCTGCGAACAGTCATTATTTACAGGCCTGTTAGGACATGTGAATTGTTTGAAGTATGCTGAAAGTCCTATTAGCATCGATATGTGAGTATTTGTATGTATGCGTCAGATACTCTTCAAAATCGGATTATCATAAGATTTGGTACTTGGAAATCTTTAAAAATTCCATATTAAACAAAACTCTTTGCTCAAATCTAAAGTTTGTGAAGATGGTGCGTATTTAAAATAAAACGTTTTCTGGATGTTTTCCATCGTATAATAAAATCATAAAATTGCACGACGTTTCGGAGATGGGACTCTATCTCCGTCTTCAGGTACCCACTCTGTTGGGCCCAATCGATAGAGCTAATCCCTATCTCCGGACAAAGCAAAAAGTGAAAGTACCGGAGTATAAGCCGATCCGTGTTATTACTTATAACACACATACAATACAATCCTCAGACAAGGAGCATTGTTGTAATCCCTGCTGGAAATTACTGCTAGGGATTATAGTCTACCCTTTCTTTCTTTTTGACGCTAGAAGTTGCTACATTTATAAAATGTAACGAAAAAGAAGTTTACAATGTGGTCCTCTTGATTGGTGCACTGCGTAATATTTTGGTTGTATAGCAGAAGTTTGAATGATCACGCTGTCGTAATCTTCAGGTTAGATACTGAAGATAGAGGCAGAGCGTTTTTCTAAAACGGTGATAAACAACCAATACGAGGCGCGCCAACCGAGAAGACCACAAAGACCACAATCTGAAGATACACAGTCATGAAACGAAAAAAAAAAAGATTTTGAACTTATGTAATCTCGAGATTACTTGTGGCCACATACTAATCTCTAATATTGTTTTCATCAAATCGTTTAAATTACTGCTCATATTTAATCCACGCAGTCCTCGAAATTGAAAATTTAGGAGACTCAGGGCACATATTTTTACATTGATGGCAGCAGACCGCAATGAGTTCTGTTGCCAGTGATGTTTCCACAGATTGTCGTAAATTTGCGACTAAATTAAATTGTTCGCCAAATAAAAAACACTCTGTATTGCATAAGTACCTTATAATAATGAAAGATTATAACAAGAATGAGACCGTGTACGATTCGAAGTGAAGGAGCAAGCATTGTGCAGATGGTGACTTGGTTCGATTCCTTCTAGGTTACAAGCCCTTCTACCGAAATCTGTGACACAGCGCTCTGTATTAAAATCGCTGTTGAATCCCTGACATTTATTTTCGCAACAATTTTTTGTTGTTTTCATCAGGTTCTTCAGCTATAATTCTGGGATATTATTTTAGCTTAAAGTAGCTTGATATATCATCGTTATCTTCCTCATTTTTCACAGCTTCGGAAAACGAGAAAGACGACTTTCTTGGAGTCTGCCTCACTTGCAGAATAATATTTCTAAGAATGTCGGTGGAAATTTCATAAATTGCATGCAGGCCTACAGTTCTTCAGCCCTCAAACCCTGTGAATAAAACGTGCTTCGGAATACTAATATCGGCCTTCAAGTGTTTTGAAGCAAACAGATCATCTAATGTTTGCTATAAAAACACACCGGATGGAAATACTCGCACTTTCGGACCACATCTCGAAATTCCATCACGTAAATCCACAAGCACAAGACTCCGTCGCAGCATCATGCTGGAACACACATATCCCACAAGTGATAACTTCCATTTTACGTGCATTTTTAGTAAAATTTTGGCTTTTTATGACAATATTTTAACTACTTAGGTCATGTGTTTTGGCCCAAAGAGCCTACGTGGCTTAAAGGGACGAAGTGTCTTTATGAGAGGACAATTATAAATTATGCATCTTAAAAAGTAAAAAGACGAAATTTTTGTTTGATTTATGTAACTGTCTCGCGGCGTTTGTCTGGAGATACTAAGCATAATCCACTTTTGTTTACCATGAATTTATTCCCACAGTCATCACCCCTTGATCTTTATTGGGACTTCGCATGATTATTGAGTCAGTGATTTAACAACACTAAGATGCCACTGAAAGAAAACTGGAACCCTTACAAAACCAACTCCATGGACCGGAGTCCTTCAGAAGCTGGCCTACGCTCAGCTAGTCAGATTTCCTGCCTTGTATAGAGCTCGACATTTGTCTATGGAGACTGAGAACGCAAGTGAAATATGTACAATGGAATATTTCTGTAATGAGAGCGTGGGTGGATATTTCCATGATCTAAAACACTGGATGCATATGCATGAGAATGTCGTGTGTGTTTATAGAAGTAACTTGTCGAGTAGGCCTGCTCTTCCGGGTATTGCATAGGTGTAGAAAGCCATCGCGCTGAACAGATTCAAAACAGGAAACGGACCAGGCCAAATATGTCATAAGGGCTTTAACGTGGCCTCGTTACGATCATCACTGGTTGATCGTATGATGGTAGAAAAATTTAATTTGCAAACATTTTTGCCCAGATTATTTGCTGGAGTGTAACGTTCGTAATTTGTTCGAAAGCTTCGTAAAAAGACGGCTGAGAATAATCCCCATTGCAGATATGTCGTATGCCTTGTCTATACCCAGCTATGTTTAAGAAGAGTAGCTTAACGTGATGTATGTTTCCTTTTTCATGTTGTCCTAAGTATACAGCTAGAAAAGTCTCGTAAACTCAAAAAATACTGGAATGTAAAGATCAAAACGAGATGCTTGTGTGCTGCGATGATGCTGACGAATTAAGTAAAAACATGAATAAAGTTTCTTTATATTTAAAGCTTTTCATGACGTGCATAATCAGTATTGCGGTTATGGAATTCCATAAGAGACGCCAATAGAATTCTATGTCAGCGTCTTGTAATTTAAAATGCCTGTATTCCTTTCTTATCCTTTTCTTCTCGACATTATCGAAACTACTAATTAGAGAGGAAGTCAGTTTCATAACAGGCAGTTCTAATTTTGTGACGGTCGTGATGAAGGAAGCACATCTAACATATCCAGGCTACAAATAGGTCTACATGTTTCGACATCCACTAACGAGAATATTGTGTGATTTGTAAGATGGAGGCGGAACAAATTTTGCTTTAATTTAAAATAGCCTTACAGGCGCAGAACTGAGGAGGAAGTCCCTATGCCGCCGATCAGCGTGTTGAAGTGGGCTGTACCATCTCATTGGATTACTTTTTCAAACGAGAACTCCCCTTGAATAGAGGCTGTACTCTAGTAAAGTAGTAGTGAGAGCTCTGTAAGGTTTTCCAAGTTAGGTGAGAGTCTTTATTATTTTTTAACAATATTTAAAATTTACTAAGTAAATATACGAAACGGAATATTATTTCCAAGTTTACAAGAATGATTAAGAATACTTTTGAAATAAGTTAATATATAATTGTGTGACCATTTCACTACTAGCATTTCGTTATATTTTCAATGTTATTTGCATGGTTCGTATTCGTATCAAGTAACCATGAACGCTAACGTCTGTGGATTGTAAAATAATCGTCTTACCTATCTGCTAACTATTTTTGGAATTTTTAAAGCTTGAAGTGGGAATAGGTGAAGAAATATCTTAAAATAGCAATATCAGAATCCGCGAATCACTTTGTTGGTCATCGGAAAACTTCATTGTCTTGAAGAATTTAGTTCTTTATACATTTTCCAAGCTGGAAGTGATATGTACTTATTTTAAACCTGTCTTTTACTCTGTATATTCTTGTTGTGTGCTATTATCAGAAACCATACGTGCATATCTTGTCACTTAAGTTAAGCTCTTTGCAGTTTAGGTTTGTAAGTTAACATGGAAATACCATTGTATCTCATCACGGAAAGGGTTACTGAACTATTACTTTAATTATTCTTGAAAGTTTATTTCGTAGCTTAGTTTAACAGCTGATCGTATACGTAAGAACTTGCTGTTACAGATTTCGTATGACAAAACAAATATTGATGACAAATTAGTGTTTGCGTTTGACTTCTCGTTTATTTTCTGTTATCGTTGCAACTTGTGCGTCCATTCCCAACACAGGAGGCGTAGGCCATGACGTGAGGAATGAAGTTCTGTTCAAACGCCCCAGCGTACAGATGACTCCACGGGCCCCTGGCGAAAACCGCGACGTCGTCACCTCCGTGTGTTTCGCTGTACAGTGGCGACGTTGCAGGGAACTCGTAATTAGCATCCACTGTGGAAGTGCCACAAAGCAGTTTCATAGTTAACGCAGTAAAATGTCGTGGAAGATGTCATCCTCATCTATATGTACTGTACTTTTTCACTCTTATTAACTTAAATATTAAAATAATTTAGTTTACGGATTGGATACTTCGTAGCTGCAGGACACAACGCCATAGAAGCTATTAAGACAAAATTAAAACTGCTCGCACACCGAATGTAGCGTCACAATTTAATTATCTCTGTCCCCGCCAGCGTATGACTTAATTAGTTATTATTAAAGTATAAATGTCCAGTACAGTTGTGAATTTTGAAGCAGGTCTTGTACCTTGCGTGAATTCTCACAGTGTCATCGTTTCTTGTTCTGCTCCTTTTTCCTCGGTTGTCACATATTAGGCTCTTGGGACAGCTTCAGTTCACAAAACGTACGATAATATTTACGTTACAAATTTGCACAGTTTCTGTTTCGAACATTTTTCTAGCCAAAGGTTTTTCCTTGAATTTAATTCGACTGTGAAATATTATTTCACATCGATTTGATAAGACCCTTTCTAATGCAAGCATTCAGAACTGTTTCGAAAAGTGCTTTGCTAATGAACGGAGCATTTTGGCAAATTTACATACTTACTCGTATTATCTCTAGAAATATCGTATCTGGTACCATCCTCTTCTGGCTGTTTATATCCTGGCCCATTAGCAAAACTAAGAGTTGCATATGGAAGATTATCAACCGAAGAAGTTCCACTTATTCCTAGAAAATAATGACGAAAAATATCAACGAGTTATATAGAATAATTTACTATCTTTGACACTACGTACAACTTGAAACAAAATATGGAATTCTCCGAGAATTAACAACGTTATGGTAGTCGTTTGAAAAGTCACAAACCTCTTCATAAAAATTTGATAGTTTCAATATGAACTCGTAGAAATTAAATGAAACGCCGTGTGCATTAGTTTTTGTTAAACAGACCAAATGCTACTTTTATTCATGCTTACCAAAGATGTTGTTTCCTCGAACAGGGTACCCACTAATGCTCAGGGTGTGGGCGTGATCGGCCGTGACCACTATCAGCGTGTCTTCTTCGTCTGTTAGATCGACTGCAGCCTGTACAGCATTTGCAAATTCAACTGCTTCGTCCAGCGCTAAGTGTGCTTTATTATCGTGAAGACCCATGTCAATACGCCCACCTGTTTTAAAAATGACACAGAATCTATGTCTGTATCTCCGATTTTCTAAATATTAGACTATAATCATAAATTGCAGTATTGAAAGATCATGGCAGCTTATTTCCTGAAACTTATAAGTTGTTATTGACGTGATATTCGGAGAAATATTCAAAGCACCTGAAAATCATAAAGATTTCACACTTCTTCGTCACACGTTGTGAGACGAAGTGAGAAATATTTATTGTAACTTGTAACTTTCTACGGCTAAAGTGAAGTAGGTAAAGAATGTGGCCGATAATTACCAGTATATAATCCTCGAACTTCAGTTTATTAATATTTTACGTGACATGTACTATGACAACGGGCATTTATCTTTAAAAAAAGACCACGTCTCTAACAAATTATGTCGCGTCCCGACAAAGACTGGCATTGATATCGATAAAGTGTTGGATTCTGAAGCGCTAACATAGTGATATGGGTACATAAAAACCAAGGAGCTGTGAAGATAAATGTGCATTGCCATAAGTGTTGATTATTTATGAAGGCAGTCGCGGGGGAGGGGATGTTACAGCTGTTTCTGTTTTACAGCTTTAATTGTAGCATGTAAGTATGTGTTGTTACAGGTGTTGGGGGATGGAGGCTGCAGAGTATATAGACTTATGTTACTGGCAGTCAAATTTGTGGCGACAAAAGGATTGTGAAGATTGGATGCGTGATTCAAGTTCAAAAGAGGATGTTTAAACGCCTTCGTAATCTGGACAGAACTATAGCTACAAGACGTTGTTGGATGAAAATTGCGAAGAAAATTAAAAACTACAGGATACTGCAGAAGTCAATACGTTGTAATGTGGATTGTGATATTCTGAGTTGTGACGCCGTGTAAGCTGTCACCAATGTTTCGGAGCAAAGTATTGCCTCCATTTTCAGACCAGTAGTACCCGGCGCTTCAATTCAGAATTCTGCACTCCACAGAAATAAGTAATTCCATTCAACTTGCCTTCGACAAACAGGAAGAAGCCATTTGGATTTTTCTTCAGCGCCTGTACTGCGAATGTGGTCATTTCCTCCAGGGTTGGTTCTTTCCTCCTGTTCGCCAGCAAATGGTACTCCAAATGATCCCTATTAAACAGCCCTTAAAGAAGGGAAATATTTCCTGTTGTGCTAAATATGTAGCAAACTTGAACTTGTACAGGTAGTGATAGAAACATGTATTAAAATACAGACAGACAGATAGTTACTCACCGAGTACGTAGTCGGAATCAGTGGGATCAACACTCATTATTTGGTCTCGGTTCCACAAATACCTGAAGCTAGCATTGCGTCCCACCTTGTCGGCTTTCCAAACTTCGATCAGATCGACGTCATCCGTTCGGCTTCCGGGAGTGCCGTCTTCATCTGTGAAGTCTCTTGGACGGAATTCCTTTCGACCTCCTCCCAGGATCACCTGTGTCAAACAGAAACAGTATTTGAATCTGAGGGTTTCACGGCGGTGAGTCCGAAGATGGCTGTTTTCTTGGTTGTAGGACCTTCCTTCTTGAGAAACTAACTGTTGCTCAGCTAGTCAAGAAATTTCTGTCCTTTTACTGAGATTGAAATTTCGTTATCGTGTTTACAAGCTCCAGCCACGGACTTTTGTTACAGTTCACATCTTCAGACCTAGTTTCTTTAATCCTAGGATTCTTAAGTGGTCTTTGACCTTAAGATTTGTGTGTCAACTTCTCGGGTAGAATGACCGTTGAGACATGCTTGGGGCGAATGCGTAAAGCAGTCAAAGAATAACGTAAACTTGTTGACATCCAAAATACCAACGACCAGTGATAAATGCTTACATTTATATTCTTGCCGGGAAGTTTGTTTACAAGCTGCTCTGCAATATCGTCGCAAATGTCCGGGTCTTGACCCGAGTTCTTGATTTCTGCGTCGTTCTCCCAGTCTCTGTTGGCGATGTAGGCATATGTACCGGAGGGAGACGCGTGGGTAATTCTGGTTGTAGTTACTACCCCTGTTGATTTGCCGGCGTCCTGCAATATCAGCAAGGAACCTTCGTCAGGAAAAAAGAAGTGTCGGATTCTGAACCGTTGATGGATTTTCATGAAAACTGTGCGTGCATTGTCGTTGAAAACTACAACACTTTTGTATCTTTAATTCTCTTCTATTGAATATGGCCTCTATCCTGAAAGTTCTCGTAAACACGATGTTAGTTTTCGTGACTCGTATTTAAGTACTATGGAATAAGCTTAGCGAAAAATATAAGAAACTTTATGGCAAAATGAGATTAAGTAGAACTGTCAGTTGCTTCAAAGTAATGTTAACAGAAAATACATAATAGACGCGTGGTCATAATGATGTCCTACGCCATTGTTTCTTTCTCTAATGTAAACTTACTCGTCGACCAGATGATACACTGAACGTGATCGTTCTTGTTTTGTAAGACATGCGGTTCTCACTGCCGACGATGAAAATATCGATGTTTTCATCGGGATTGTGACGCCGTGTGGACTTTTAGTCAGATACCAACGTTTCGGAGAAATATACTTCCTCCATCTTCAGGACTTCAGTCTTAAACATGTGTTTAGTGTGTTGTTCTAATATATTGGTATTTACTTTCAAGTCTACATGGCGTCACAACCCAGAAAAACGTCATCTCATTGCTCACTCTCGGTGATCACTTATTATTCTTTATTGACTACAATGTGTCTCACATTATAGCAGCACGACAGACGTTACCTGTGACCACTTCAGAATTGATGGCACTTGATTGGAGACGTTTCGCATGGCTGCACAGTCGTCAACCTTTACTCTTCCAGTCACGCCTGCTGTGCCGATGTTCCCCTTGACCCCACCCAAATACGCCGTTGCACTGCAAGAAGAATCTGCCACTTGGCTGTCTACACAGTAGGTCTGAAAAAACATGTCACGACAACAAGAAGTTTATTTTTGCTCTCCGATTTTTCTTGGACGTTCTCGCCACATAAACCGACATATAGAATATGTCTTGGGCACACTTGTCCAATTTCATTAAGCGTACTGATGTCCTTTTAATGTCTGTTCATTCACCTTAGACAGTCCAGTATTGGGGAATTCTTCAAAGGAGAGCACAGTTTCCTCCCCCGTTGCACCTAGGGACTGCCCGAGGTACACTCTAGCAGCGGCCAATGTTGGGATCGAAAAGCCGTCCCCCAGGAACATGATCACGTTTTTCGCTTGTCCAGTTATAGGTTTTCTTCCTAATTTCGTGCTCAGAAGGTTCTGTGCTCCGTTAATCCAGAATTCTGAGTCTGAAATCGTATATAATATAGAGTGTGGTTAGTAGTTGGTTCAGAGGCGCTTCAACATGATTATTCGCGTTTATAACTGAGTGTATATGACTTGCTAAAATATGGTTAATAACTGCAGTTGCACCAGCCTGATAATGCCAAACTAACAACCTATCCTAATCCGATTACTTGATTAATCATATTTAACTAATGTGATAGCTGGTTAACTAAGACGCTATGATGTTGAAATTCGGCTTGATCTTTTCTTATCACACAGTACCGTGTTTCTTTTTGCTGTAGCAAATCTAAAAAGTGGGGAAACCCCATCAGCAGTAACTTTTAAAGATTATTAATCCAAGAATTCTTTAATGTCCGTAAAACGACGCGTTAATTTGCTGTATATTTTAAATTCTAATACTTTAAACAAAGGTATGATAAGATCTAATGAAGACCCAGATCTCCGATTAAACTAATGCTAATTTTTAATAATTTTCAAATATTCGGTACATTAAAGTAGTCGAATTCAAAGACCTAACTTCATTTGTAAAATTTCATTTCAATAATTGCTCGCGCTTTCAACTAAATACAAAGTGCAACTTCACAACCATTACTGTCGGCTGGAAAGTTATTTTACTGCACGTCTCAGTAGCTCACCGTCTTCGGGGTTGAAATCTTTTATGCCTCTCGAACGTCTTGTTCTGTGGACCTGATGAGCAGTATCTAAAACGTAAACAAAACACAGTGAAACAACAATGCAAGACTAGATTATTTGTGTGGGAATGGGCCTATACACGCATAGACCCACATAATTACTCCCTCTCTTGTGACAGACCGGACATGCCTCTGCACTCCTGCACGTTTAACAGTGCACTCTCAAAACACATTCCAATACAGAGGCCCATGCCTGAACAAATTTGCTATATTTATTTTCTAGTGCTGAAGTTGCCACGTACATGATGGAATCGGAACTGCATGGAGCGAATTCCAAAATGTTACAAAACAATATACAAAGATACAAAACCATCAGAATAATATCCAGAAAATACTGGTGCTATCATGGCGACCTAGCAGTGTTTTACTTTAAAAAAGTAAGTTACACATTTCCATAAAACGGTTGTCTCTGGCTCTGTGGCCACCTTGTTCACGAGACGTCAGCAGACGTATTTTATATGGGTATTTGTCTCCATCATCCTTACCAAGAAATGTGAAATAACTAAACAATCAGATAACTGACACTATTACGGACATTCTGGTACGTGTGTGTTCATTATAAATATACACAAGCCTTGAAAGTTGCGAAGGTATTTTGTGCGCACACTGTATTAGCAGATTCCATTCGTTCTAGGAATGAGCAATATTATTTTACAGACGTGGAAAATAAGAATTTTTTCCCCTCACGTTTCACTTTGTGGTTAAAATACTTTCGCAGACACGTAGAAAAACAAACATTTCACTGTTAATCAGAAGGCATTTTGCACACGATATTGTATGACTGGGCACGCAACCAGAAAAATTAGCGATTGCTTTACGTACTCCTGCACACTGAAATCTAAGGTATTGCACTTTATACTTTTGTTAAATATAGTATTAACTCCCATTAAATCAAGACGGAAACAACGTGAATATCATCTTGCTTATCTTCGGAAAATTTCCAATTATTATTTCGTACGTTGATTATTTCTTCCATGTGTACTGCGTGTTCTGCCAGCCTAATTGTCGCTTATTTCATAATCACAGCAACCTTTGGCAAAAGCCATACAATGCTGGTTCTCCATTATGCATTTGATATTCCCCAGTCTTAGTGCGAAGAACATTAAATGCAGTAAGACAAGCTAGACAAAGTTGGAATATAACTCCATATTGAAGAAACAGGGTGACAGACAGAAAATAAAAATCTGTGCTCGTTATTCTAATGGAAAATGTGAATGGCGTCATTAAATAACCATCAGAACCCAAAAATGTCACTGACGTGTGTATATTGTCTTAGTAACATTCTTATCAGCTGTGACTGTGTGATAAGTATTTGTTGATGTAAGATGAATCTTCAAATTTTGCTTTTTGGTAGAATTCGTGTGACTTTAGCACCAGTCTTCTGTTAGCTGCTTAGCAATAAAGATCAAAGACGCATATAAGGATATGATAGTGAACGTCGCAGTCATTAGGGCAAGATTAAGATTGTATTATGAGCGAAAGATGGAAAACGCAGTATAATGTCTAAACGTGAATAAACGTGCGGTGTATTTAACTGATTGACGATATTTTCAAATTATTTCGGATAAAGATATTTCTACCTTTTGAAATAATAAGATTTGTCGCCACCTGGTGGCATATGTTGGTGTTTGAATTGAAAGCAAACGCTGTTTTGTAATTTTTGCAGAAACCATGTTATTGCTATGTGTATGAAATATCGCAGTTCCGAAGTTGGACGGTGACTCAAAGACATTTTCTATACTGTAGTTTTTCATGCAGAGTTGTTCTTCTGGTTTGTCACTCCGTATAAATTCATAGGCAGATTTCAATGATATCTCCATATTCAGTCTTGCATTATGTTTCTCCGAAACGTTGATGTCAAAATAAAGGCTCCACGACGTTAAAACCTAGGACAGCTCCGTCGAAGTATTCGCCTTCGCGGCATGGGAACGCCGAATCGAATACTTCTTATGGAGTCTTAGAAGACGCCTTCTTGTGATGCTGATCTGCCGTGTGGAGATTGTGATTATAACGTACACGCTATTTTCTTTGGTCAAACAGTGATCTGCCTTCTTGTTTCTTTATTATGTCTTTTAGACTGCTAGTTTATACAATAAAGACCGACAGACACAAGAAACGTCATGATGATCCGTCACCTGATCAGAGAAACACAGAGAACCTTGATTTTTAGATTTAAGTCAGTTTTTATCTTAAGGATAATGCAGTTTTTACTTCAGACTTAACGGATTAGTTTTTTTTAAACGTAGATCTGTCTGATAACATTGTATGCAGATATGTAAGAATTAGTATTCGTCTCATAAAGCACAAAGGTGAAGTATTTCTATAGCTTCGCTGGATTTTTTGATTTAATATATATGATTCGAGCTTTGTGTTAAGTGGACCAATATGTAACAGAATTAAGTGCAGTGAAAAATGTTTAATGCAGATTAAAAATTACCGAACTTAATAAACATCAGTTGTGACTTTACACACCGAAAGACACGGTGTAGTGGTTAACGATAATTTTTTCTGCTCCAGAGGACCGAATTTGATTCTCGGCCCTGCAGTCCTGACAGTATTTCCAGCCTAATGCTAGGATATAACCACAAAACTGGCCACGACCTTTCCTGTCAGACTGTTTCCAATTCATCATTCCTTTTGTACACTGTACCTATAAACCGTGCACTTGAATTATCGTCCCCGAACAAATCCAGAGAAAATTAAGACTCACATTTTAATAGGAAAGTCAACGAAATTTGCGGTACAGTGGTTAACATTAATCATTCACGTTTAGACTGTATAGATTCGAATCTCGGTGGGAGCACTGGATATTGTGACTGAAGCTTCCCGTGATTCCTTGAGCTAGGACTCTTTCTATCCATCGTTTCCAGTTCACCACATGTAATCGTCCTCCCATGTCAATCGACTTTGATACTACAAAGTCGTTAAGCAACTAACGACCCAAGAAGTCGTTTAAATTCCTTGTCCTTGACAATAAAATGTCTTCTCACTCCCTGAGTACGGTTTCCGTCATTAACTTTGTTCTTGATTTATCTCAGCTTTTCCAGATAATATTCACAATTACATCCCAGGTCTTTTCTGCGTAACCTATGTTTGTAGAAATATTATTATATGATGGGCATTGCCCATAGTCTCAAGTACATTTCATACACGCAACGTTTCGAGAGTTGGCTCTACTCCTCTCTTCAGGTCGTTTTCATTATACTGTCAAATTCGTTTATTTTTCTTCCCGTTTAAAGCTATCCCTCGTCACTAATCAGATCCCTGTGCCCGCTATGCTACAAAGCGCAAGATAGAAACATATTCAGATTTCTTACCGCGCTCGTCGATGTCCTCAGAACCAGGTCTTGCCCAAGCCACCGTGGTTATCAAGGCCAGGACGAACACGAGCGTGGACGGGCTGATTGTCAAAACCATGTTTGAGTTAAGATGAGCAGAATTCGTGCAGTATTTAGTGTCTGTTGACTGACAGAAAATGGGAGCATGCCTACAATAAATACTCGAGCTGTAGCAATAAACCTACCTCGCAATCTTTCCCCCCACCTTCTAACTTACGCGTGTTTAAACGCACCACATTCACAATCAAGTTCTTAAAGATTTAATACCGGTTTCAATCACCTAAAAGGAGATTATCTGTTAAGCAGTTAGATAACAGAAATCTAAAAACTGTCGAGATGAAATTATTTGCGAGTGTTTGCTTTCTGTAAACTTATAATTATGAATGCTCTTAGTAGGATTTGAGACACCTGTGCTGCATGGGTGTCGATCTATTTGGATTCTGAGCATATTCTTACGATTGCAACACCCAGCCGAAGTGGATTGTTTTCCTTTCGAAATTTTAGGCAGTTCATTCTGAGTTGTGAATCGGTTAAGATAGACATTGCGTGTATTATAGGTTATTATGAAGAACAAAACTTAGAGAAACTGAGGTATGCTACGAAAATCCTCAGTTTTTCATGCGTGTTCTCGGTTCAGAGGACATTGATACTGTAACTACATGCCGGTTTCTTAGAGCTTTATCAATTACGTTTTGGAAGTACGCGAAGAATTTCTTGCTTATTTCTGCTGTCGTCAAACATCGCCCTCTTCTTTTACGTATTCGTGAGGGCCTGTCAGCCGGAGAAGCATGCAGTTCTTAACGAAACAGAAACTAAATCACAATAATTAATTCTATGTTTAAAATATTTCCGAAGTTTTTTATGATTTCTTGTAAGTTATAAAGAAGCTACCACTTGACCTAGATTTATAAGTAGGAGGCGTTTAAAACTAAAGATCATAAGAGTGAGCTGAGACTCCTAAATCGTCTCGTATAGTTTAGATTGGTTCACGAAATAATTCAGAGAATTATAGGATTATTACAGAAGATATACGGCCTGCGTCACGAAGTAATGTGTCATATTAAGGCCAAGGTTATTGTACCTCTCGTCTATTTACACCCAGGGGCTGTATGCACATTCGACGTAAGTTCTTATCAATTGTCGTTAGTAATTTTCTGTGAGTTTATGATACACGTTCTAGAGATAAGCAAGAAATTGTGATGTGAGTCGGAAATTCCGAAGGACGGTGTCCAATAGTCCTAGTTCAAGTCCAGATAAAATAATCTTATGTGTCGTGTGTTTAAATACACGCCTATTCGGACAAAGCTATACATAAGTGGCTTTCGAGATGAAATTAAAAGGGAATTCTTGTAATTTTTAATTTCAACCTGGTGTTCTGTCATTCACTATCCAAATTCCTATAAAGTGAGTTATGCAAAACAGTTATTTTCACAGTTATTTATTTAACGAAAAAGATGCAAGAACTTTGCTCAGTCTCAGCATTGCCACTATTTATGACATCACATCATAAATTATAGTGCATTATGTATCATTAGATAATATTTATGCTGAGTGAAACTAAGTTTTGATAATATTAATGTGTGTATGAAACTCGCTAATAGGTCTCTGAAGAAGGTTATTATTGTGGATGTTTCTGGGAAATGGTTCTGTTATTTTGACGATGAACAATTCTATTTTACAACACAGGATATAGGTCTATGCCTATAAAGGGCCCATAAATTACTGTAGAAACCCATGACAGAATGTGATCACAGTAGTCTGCATAACTAAACACTTTGTGCCACGTAAATGCTATTATTTTCCAAAACAACGTATGAAAATGTTCACAATAAATCCATATGAAATTCAAAATTTCATACGTTGAAGTTCTGCGGCCATAACACTGTGATGATAATGACGTTCTTTTGGGTTCTGGAGTTTATTTTCTCCATCTTCAAGTCAGAACCCAAAACATCATTATCATCAGTCATCTTCATCATCGTAGCCGCCGTGAAATCTCACATTTTACATATTTGTATGTTATCATCGAGACATTCCTTCCCCGAATCATCTTCCATAGAGGTCGGAGACAAAATTATATACATTACTAGTTCCTATCATAATGAAACAATATTCTTCACGTAAACGATAGTTCAGAATCGCCTTTATACGGGCGTAAATACAATTGATACTATGTGTCCACCTTCTTACACATCGTTTATCTCTCACTAACATGGCGTGACACTACACGTATTTTCCATTTATCGGATGGAAACTTCATATACTTCACTGCTCTGGGATTCGCTTGGATTTGATAGTTCTCATATGCGACGCAGCACTCCAGTGTAATGCTATTAGAGCACAGCAGAATACTGTTTGAAACGTTGGAGCTAAATAGGTTTACATCCATTCTGAAAAGAGGCTGTGTTTCAGGGAGCTCATACATGTCATAAGTTTTTCAAATCGAAGGAAGAGAATAGTTTTAAACGGTGTTTTAAAAATAAATTCCAGGATCACCAATGTTCAGACCACATACGAGTCTACGCTGTACCAGAACAACAACATTATTATCCTCACCGCATTTAATGCTGTTTCGATCTCAATTATTGTAAGATTTTGCTATTGCGTTTTGCAGTGGCGTCTGAAATCGATAAGCACAACATTAAAATAAATGCGAAACTGTAGTTAAACATAAATCAAAATTTGTATGGAAAGAGGAACACTGGAATCGATTGAGGTCAGGTACTCTTGAGTTTTTAATTTCTTGCTTTAAATGATATTTTATTAAATCAGTTAAACAAGTTCAAGTTCTCATTTTTTGGAGGAATATAGCATTCATTCTTGCGTTCAGAAATACATTATATTCTTGGACTCGCAAAAACCACATATGTGCTTCAGGAAATTAATTTTGGTGATAAGGAATACGATATTCAGTATGACTTGCTTCAAAGGATATCCAACGACAGTCGAATTGCTGTTAGTCCATGGAAAAACGTGTTATCGATGAGTTTTATTAGCCGGGCTTAGTAAAATGACGGAAATTATACTGTGCTATCATATATTTATAAAACATAATGTTAAATTTACTGTATGGTTACATTGCAGTAAATATATTTCAGTAGCTGAATGCCTACATATTTCTTATAGTCTTATACTAATAAGTTCTTTAGAGTATCAGAAATATTTGTGCATGAAAAGTAGTCTACAATATTATAATTTCCTGTTCATAGCCATCAGTTACTGATCAATGGTTACGTTTTTATACATGCGGCTTGCAACTTGTCCGTCCATTTCCAACACAGGAGGCGTAGGCCATGACGTGAGGAATGAAGTTCTGGTCAAATGTCCCAGAGTACAGATGACTCCACGGGCCTCTGGCGAAAACCGCGACGTCATCACCTGCGTGTGTTTCGCTTCCCAGAGGTAATGTAGCCGGGAATCGGTACTTCACATCAGCTGCGAAAACAACCCGAATGTCAGAGACCGCTTGGAAAACATAGGCGTGTATGGGAGCATAATGTGAATACTGAAATACTAGTGTGTGAGGGCATAAACTGAATTTATCTGCTTCGTGCGAATATGGTAATGAACCTAACTCTGTAAGATTTGAGGTTTTCACAGCGGCAAGTATGAAGATTTCTGTCTTCTGGGTTGTTGCGCTGTATAGTCTGGTCGATGTTAACCAACGTGTCAGAGGTCATACTGCCTCCGTTATCAGGGCGATGAAGATTTCTGTCTTCTAGGTTGTTGCGCTTTGTAGTCTGGTAGACGTTTACCAACGTTTCAGAGGTTATACTGCCTCCGTCAGCAGGGCGATGAGTATGAAGATTTCTGGCTTCTGGGTTGTTGCGCTGTATAGTCTGGTCGATGTTAACCAACGTGTCAGAGGTCATACTGCCTCCGTTATCAGGGCGATGAAGATTTCTGTCTTCTAGGTTGTTGCGCTTTGTAGTCTGGTAGACGTTTACCAACGTTTCAGAGGTTATACTGCCTCCGTCAGCAGGGCGATGAGTATGAAGATTTCTGGCTTCTGGGTTGTTGCGCTGTATAGTCTGGTCGATGTTAACCAACGTGTCAGAGGTCATACTGCCTCCGTTATCAGGGCGATGAAGATTTCTGTCTTCTAGGTTGTTGCGCTTTGTAGTCTGGTAGACGTTTACCAACGTTTCAGAGGCCCTGATGACGGAGGCAGTATGACCTCTGAAATGTTGGTTAATATCGACCAGACTACACAGCGCAACAGCCCAGAAGACAGAAATCTTCAACCTAACTCTGCTTTTTACCCACGGAGTGAATCCATGGACCTCTAATTAATTTAAGTATATACAAAGATTATTTTACAAAGCAGCATGAACCAATTGTATTCTGAAATTAGAACGTGATTTTATTTTGAGATAGTATAATTTCGTGCGTCAAAGTAGAGGCGGTGACTAGCTGAGAGACAGTTAGAAAAAAAACTCACGCACTTTTTTAAACTTAAAAATTAATAAGACTGTGACTGAAAAAACAAACAAACAAACCAACAATCATATTAATATGGGTGTAACATTTTAAATTCAGAATTATATCTTTGTGTTTTGTCATGCGTTGCGCTCTTTTCTGGAAATACAAAGACTTTCATTTCGTTGCAACACGACTAATTAAATAGGAGCTCCACGGAGAGTTTATATTATAGCAACGGGTCATTTGTTCCATGCCACGCCACTGTTGAGTCAAGGGATCGTTATCTACGTGATAGTGCATCTCTGTTAATTCTAATGGGACCCGGATAATGTAATGACGTTAGGAATCATCCCCAGCCCCACGTCCACCGATTATTCTCTTCCAACTTAAAAATACCGATTTAAGTACCTGAAAGAAGATGCACATAATTCACAGGAATATTTAATTATGCCTCTTATCTGTAAAAGCTTTCAGTAGCGTAGGAAAAATATCAATCCCAAAATGAGATCGGGGAAATTCTTATTTTTTTGTCTGGATGTTCTGATATTTAACAAAATATAGAATTGGAATAAATTATTTTTGACTCTTGTGCAGACTATAAAATAATGTATTTTGAATCTCTATACACTCCAAATTGAATTGGAGTTCGGATCTTTTTTTTAACAACTGTTCACTGCATTTGTTTAACTAATGAACCAGCATTTCTCTACGAGTCACAGACTTGATCGAATGTTCCTAACATATATCACAGCACATAATTGTGATTAAGTATTCTACGACAGTTTTAAAAGCTATACAAATATAGAAATAATTCTAGTATTACTGGAGCATTTCACACTGTCAAACTTATATTATTTCAGAGATCCTTCCTACATTATTTATATGAACTCGATATTACAATGCAATGAGCGAGGAATTTCTCATATACTTACCAAGGTTATCGTTAGAAATGTTATATCTGGAGCCATTAGCTAGTGGTTTCTTGTACCCTGGTCCATTAGCGTAAGAAAGAGTAGAATATGGAAGTCTATCGGAGTCAGACGTTCCAGCGATACCTGCAACAAAGTGTATGAATATGACGTGGAAATTAACTTATATATTAAATTAAATTCTTCGCTTTCATTAATGTCTGTCACCCGATAGTGTTCACGTAAATACACATCAACGAATGTTGATGGTCATTTTGTTTATGAGTGCTTGACCAAGGCGCAGCTTCGTATTACGTGTAGTAAAACTTACCGAAGATGTCGTTGCCGCGGGTGGGGTAACCACTAATGCTCAGGGTGTGGGCGTGATCGGCAGTGACCACGATCAGGGTGTTTCTTTCATCTGTCAGGTCGACGGCAGCCTGGATAGCTTTTGCAAATTCCACTGTTTCGTCCAAAGCAAGATGTGCTTGCGTATCGTGATGTCCGTGATCGATACGCCCGCCTGTTTTAAGTTGCATAATATCAGAATGTATAACACGTAAGCTGTCCTCAATAGCGTTAACACCATTGGCATCAGCGTTTTGATATTTCGTTCCTTCCGATTTATGATTTATATTAACTCCATTTAATTATTCAGAGATATTCATAGATCTTTATTTCTCTTAGGTTTAAGCCTGTACTTCAATGTTGCCCAATATTGTAGGAACTATAAATAAGACAATATGCCATAATAAAACCACGACGTATATTTTCAATTAAAATAAAACTTGTTATGAATTAAGAATAATCCAGAAAAAAAATTGCAACGCGTTACATTTCAGGGTTTCACTTATTGTCTTGTGGAAAGTTGCGCCGTGTAGACAGGTAGAAGTTTACCGACGTTTCAGAGGTTCTTATTGCAATATTTGTTGTTCCTTTAGTGTGCGAGACCAAATTTGAAGTTTGTGTTTATATTTGGGGAATGCTTGCACAACGCAGTTCGGAATATTTTTCCTTCCCGGCAGTTATTCGAAAACCTGGATATTAAATTATACGGATAAACAGACAGTTGCAAGGGCATTCTTTAAAATAAGATTTTACACCTACCTTCAACAAAGAGGAAGAAACCCTTAGGTTCTTGACTTAGAACCTGGATAGCAACTCTAGTCAGTTCTTCGAGTGTCGGTTCCTTAGTCGCATTGGCTAGCAAGTGATATTCCAAATGGTCGCTATTGAACAAACCTAAAAAAAGATCAGCCTATAATGTAACAATGCTTAAATCGATAAATTAGTATTTACAAGAATTATCACAATTTTATTACAAATGCGTGTAGAAGACTAATCTATTACACACCTAGTTACAAGCGTTAAGTGTTTGTGGTGTAATAAATAACCAGTTTTATTAACACAAATTATATTATTTCATTTTAAAGCATCCGGGAGAAGAGATGAATACATTACCAGTAAAATACTTGAGTTTTAGCAAATATACTCACCAAGTACGAACTCTGTCTTCCTGGGGTTAATATTGAGGAGCTGCTCCCTATTCCACACGTACTTAGAACTGGATCCTCGACTGCTTTTGTCTGATTTCCATTTGGTGATCAAATTCACGCCGTCTGTTCGGGCACCACTCTTGCCATCCTCATCTGTTACGTTCTTAGGTATGAATTCTTTGCGACCACCCCCCAGTATCACCTATGAGAAAGCCACGCGTAAATATTAAACCGAAGTGACGTTTTTGTATCTTCTATTGAATGTTAAGATCAGTGGATCCTGACCTCAAAATTGAACAAAACAAATTATACGCTTATTTATTTCTTGGAAGTTTGGTTGTTGGTTATTTAACAACACTTTTTAAATACCAGAGATTATATATCGTCGAACGAAGTTGGTAGATGACTAGGAATTGTCATTGTGCAAATATCAGGAATGAATCAACTGTGACCTTTTTAACTTTAGGCCTACCACACCAACATTCGGTTGGACAGACGCAGGGAAATCACGAAGGACCTCAGTAATTATACCTGACACGTGATGTTATTATGCGTGTAAATTCGCACCATCGTCACAATGTTTTAACGACAAAGCGTTCATTAACTCCTGTATCAAATCTGTTTTTTATGGTTGATATACCTGCTCTTAAGTATGCATAGTCTGATAGGCCCCATTCCTCTAGTAAGAATGTACAAACCTTGATATTCCTGCCGGGAACACTGTTGATGAGCTGTTCTGCGATGTCATCGCACTTATCTGGATCCTGGCCGGAGCTCTTAACTACAGCGTCGTTCTCCCAGTCCCTGTTGGCGACCTGGGCATATGATCCGGCAGGCGACGCGTGGGTGATACGGGTTGTCGTCACCACTCCCGTTGACTTGCCCGCGTCCTGGAAAGCCACCCCCGCAACTCTATGAAGTTATATCAGTTTGACAGGCCGGAAGCTTGCACATAGAAGAACTGCTTTCTTTTTACGCCCGATTTATTTGAAAGAGGCTTGCACGTAGGGCTGCTAAAATTGTCTGCGTTCTTTGAAGCACCACGTTTCATCAATTTATCCTCCAATTGCAATTGTGGTTTACGAACATGGAAAACAATTATTTTTAATTCAGACGTTTAAGCTAATAAACAAATCCTTTGGTATATTGTAAAAGACTAAAATTAACAGATTAAAATAATAGGTGATTTGTGACAAAATTAAGAGAAATGTTTTTGGCGAATACTTGCTACCATTCAATTCGGAATCTTTCATATTTCCGTATACTTTCTTATAATCTAACGATTGACGCTGTGCGTATTCTTCCTCTGTTTCAAGAGTGTTTTTTATTTAACATATACTGTGATACAAAGAGGATTGAAAATATCTCTGTGATTGATGAACGGTAAAGGATACGGAAGGAAGTATTAGGAATATATAGGATTTGAGACTTTCGCGGAGAGTACAATCAATAACATCTTCTCGGGTAACCAGTTAACGCGGCTGATTGCCCGAAAAGATTTTATTGGTTTATTAGGGATGTATTATAAAGCATTCGCCTGAACATTTGACTGGAGACATTGAGGATAACCAGGAAGGTGAGTCAGGATAACTCGTCTCTGGGCCAAACGTTCAGCATGGGACTTTCAGCATACGACAGAAAAGGGAGTTACTACCCGGTGAACCGCTGCTTCGGTCGGATATTAAATATCTAAGCCTTGACAGAAGGGGCCCGGAAAGAGAATGGCGAAGCAGATCTTTACTTACACTGCGGTATCCGTAATGGATAAACTCTGTTGGGAACTTTGTTGATTTGATTTATTCAAAGTCTCGTTGTCCTCCAACATTTTGCAACAAATATTTATCACCGAAAAACCTACTATTTAATTAAACCATTCGACGAAAAGTTAACATATCTGCTTATTATTTGTAGTGAGCAAATTAAAATAATGTTACATATCTTACCTGTGACCACTTCAGGATAGAAGTCACTTTATTGGTCGCATTTAGTGACGCTGAACAGTCGTTCAGTTTCACATTTCCTGTCACTCCAATGGTGTAAATGTTGGCTTTGACTCCACCCAAATAAGCTGTAGCGCTGCAAGCAGAATCAGCTACCTGGCTGTCCACACAGTACGTCTGCAAATGGGATCACATAAGGTATCACGGTACACCGCCGTGATAACTTCAAACCTAACCTCATAATATGTGTTATCTGACTAGCGTGTAGCTTTGCTTAACTTTGCTGAGTAATAAGAAAAGTGCGTAACGTACTTTATGTTATTTGGGTAATGTCTGTCGTGGTTACTGGCGTTCGAGTGTTCAAAATTCCTCCTCACCTTTGAGAGCCCTGTGTGAGGGAACTCCTCGAAAGAGAGCACCGTCTCCTCACCCGTGTGTCCTTGAGATTGGCCAAGGTATGTCCTGGCCGCGGCCAAGGTTGGAATTGAGAGTCCGTCTCCCAGGAACATTATCACGTTCTTCGCCTTGCCTATCAGATCATGACTTGACAGCTTCTGGTTCAGTGTGTTTTGTGCTTTTTGCCGCCAGTATGCACCATCTCAAATAAGACAAATAGTATATTAGATGCACATAAAATTTTGGTCGGAAATTGTGACGTAAAAAAGAACTTGGGAAACCTAGGCTAAAATGAATAGCAGCCTTGGGTTCTTTGTTAATTCAGCAATAAACCTTCGGCTTCCTTAATACCAACGACTTTGTTAGCCAACTAAGTAACTAAACCCCTGACAAATTACAATTAACAGGCGACACATTTTGTGGATCACTCACCATTTTGATCAACGCTGTGGTGAAATTTTGGCGGAAGACGATGAAAGTTTGTCTGATGATAATGATCTGAAACATGGAAATTGTCTATAAATAAATATTTACCGAACTATTTGATTTTCATGGTGTATGATTTGTATTGTGGAAGTCGCCACTTTGATATTTGTAGCTACTTATAGAGATTGATATTTTGTGACTTCCGTTTCGTAAAATAAATATTAAAAAAAGAAGAAATGGACAGTAGAAATATTATTACCAATACTTTCTAAAAACACTAGTCGTGGTTTTCTAACAGACACCTTTGAAGCCGATCCGACTTCAGAACATGGTTTGACGATGTTTGACTCACATTTTGTCTCGTTTGTCTAACAAATGCCTTCACAGGTCTCGTGTAAAACAAAGCAGTCGCAGGCAATTTACTGCCGCTGTTATGTGTGGAGCATTTTATAGCTTCTCCTAGTTCATTCAGAGTTTTTAGACGCTTATTATAGAACACAAACTAGAACTAAATCCATGGAGCAGACTCCTTCTTAAGAAAGTGATAGTAGCTGAGTTAGTCAGAATATATTCACTTTCCAGCTTTGCATCTCATCGAACGTAGTCTCCACGCAGTTCGTACAGCGTCACTTAGTAAAGTGCGATAATTCACCTGCCACTACAGATAAATTCAGTGTAGGCTACATTTTATTTGATAGACGAAGTCGTAAATAATAATTCGCAAATTCATTGCACACATTCTGTTTCAACGTGTGGTATTGCTGATATTAGTTTTGTACTTGTGTACATTATTTGGATTATTAATTGTATTCGTAAAGTGAAATTGGATTTGATTGTAAAATGTTGAAGATCATTTTGATGATAAAGAATCTTCAGTCTGATGATGGTGATAGAGCTGGCGGCAATGATAGAAACGCGGTTTACTATTTGGAAGCAAGATGTTCTCGAAATGACCTATTACGTCCACTTATCGTCAGATGCTTCAGTATGTATCTTGATACTACGAGGAACTATAAACTGTTAATTTTAAAATTAATTAATTATTTATTCATGTGAGTAATTTTTGTTTTTGTTTAAATTTCTGCAAATGAAGTTACTTTAACAAAGGTTGCACATTTTTAAAATACCTTTTATGACACAACATTTAAACGCCCTGCAGTAGGCGGCGTTATTGTTACTCCCACCTCACAAATTCGTAGGTCGCCATTATGGTATTATTGATAACAAGATGTTAGAAAATACAAGGGTAGGGAGGCTTTTGTGACATGATGTTCACACCCAATTTCATGAAAATCCGTCACTTGATTCGAAATGTAGTGTGTTATGGACAGATAAAATATGTCTATCTTTCTTTATAAAATAAGGGTAGTAGGTTAAAATAAATTAAAGAAATGCTTACGTACCACTATTGCTGGTCTCCTGGGAGACTGGATTTGCACAGGTAAATGTTGTCAGGAAGACAACGGTGACCACCAGTGAAATCGTTGAAGCCATCTTAGACAGGTGTGAGAATGAATTGCAGCCAGGTGTAATTGCATTTAAATACTACAGCTACCGTAATAAATCCTGCATTGCAATTCCTCGTTTCACTCATTAAGTCACTCGTGATCCTACAATCTCCACTTTCAACACAAACAATATTTCATCCTAAAATCCTAGTGCAAACTAAACAGGTATTTAACCGTAATTATTTTGTGAGATAACGAATACTGAACATTTGAAAGGATCAAAACATTACTATTGAATTGGTGAATGTTTATTTTTGTGCTGCTGATTTATCGTTATATCTGCGTGTACGTCATATAAATGCTGGTAATTGTAACAATGTTCTTTGGAGTGAAATTATGTTTCTTGTGGTAGTTTCTGACGCATACCATCATAAGAAAGGCAAAATTGCGAATCTGCTAAAATGGAATGTTCCAGAAGAGGTGAAACGCAATTCTATCGTGAAATAAAAAACTCTTAAACTGTTTTATTTTTGTCTTGAGCTGCCTTTCCAACAGCGTACTTGGTTTCATTCATATCCACGAAGGCTACTAACTGTAAGCCAATAAGGAATAGTATTTTTATTTGGTTTTAAACGAGGCAGGCATCCTCTTACTGGCACACAATATTCTAAAATCGTTATATTTTAATAATATACATGATTCTGAAATTAAAACGGTGTGCGAATAATAATAACAGGGCCAATTTTTACCCCTACCCCTGAATGAATAGGTAGAGCTATCAGTTAAATTCTGCATTGTAATGCTATTATGTTCTTTTATAACTTTTATCAACTTGTGTTTCGGAAAATATTTAGATGTGAATGTAGGCTGTCGATAATTGAGCAAATACCTAAAATCTGCCGCAGAAAAGTAAATACAATGTAGCTATAAATTTTACCACGTGTCATATTATTAAGCATGATTATTTTTTAAATAATTATAATTGTTTCGTTAAAGTATTTGAATATTAAGTAAATAATATGAAAACACGAAAACACAAACCTTGTTGCAATTCCAGTTGTGCACACTAGGCTATCCAAGTGAATTATAATAAAAATTTAAAATGTTTCTGATTTGATTTTATAAATATAAAATTATGATACTTGACGTTATAAAATTTGTTTTCTGTTGTAAAAATTTAATGATATTTCAGGTCCGTAAAGTTAGTAATACATGTACTCCATGAATTTGTATAGTGTACGCGCAGAGAAATCCTTGTGCACTAGACAGAAGTGCCTAGTTGGCTTCGTGATATTTTGACAGCATTACTCAGGAGAAAGTCTGGTACAGTGCCAGGTGGATAGGAGGCATAACGAAGCATAAATGTTTGAGGGCCTCTGGCCTTTAAGAGCAAAAGTTGTTTGTAGGTGATTACTCCGTGCGCAGGTTTTATTTCTCGTTGCAAATTGTGCGTCCATTTCCAAAACATGAGGCGTAGGCCATGACGTGAGGAATGAAGTTCTGTTCAAATGCTCCAGCGTACAGATGACTCCACGGGCCTCTGACGAAAACCGCGACACCACCTCCGTGTGTTTCTCTACTCAACAGCAATGTTGCCGGGAATCTGTAGCTGAGGTCATTTGCAGAGAGTTCTCGAATTTAATGTTGTAATCAATAACTCATACGACCTCACAGTATTCTCTCAAACACAATAAGCACACTGGAATCAAAATACTTCCGTCAGTACTGCGTTGGAACGCATTCGTATTCACTTACTCATATTGTCTTTGGAAAGGTCGTATCTACGCTTGTAACCTTTCCCATTAGCATAAGATAGAGTCGCATATGGGAGTCTATCAACTCCAGAAACACCAGCAAGATCGCTGTTTCATCTAAAGCAAGATGTGCTTTTGTCTCATGATAGCCGTGATCGATACGCCCGCCTGTTGTCAACGTGACAGAATACCAGAATTTAAGTAATTCCTTTCCAAATCCCCATGGACTTCAATCTTGGACTGGAGCGGACGCTTGTGTGTTCCAGTGACAATGTTGGCTGGGCCACCCAAGCGAGACGGGTCAAAGGGTAGGGGCCAGACTAAAAGTACTCTCTGGTCTTCCAGGAAGAGTGTTGAGACGAGACACTAGTTAGTGATCCGTAAAAATGTTTGCGATTGTTAAAGACGACAAGAGGCCACAGAAGCCAGGTGGACTATTTTTTAAAAAAAGGACGATTTAAGCAACGTAAAAGGAAAATACGAATTGGTATACGAAACTTTCCAGAAGTATCTAAAAAAAGCGTGAAAATAAATATTGAAACAGAGAGAAAAACATCAGCGCTGTTTTTGTTACTGAGTCAAAGAAAAAAGGGTAGAGCAACGGACCATTTGGTGAACATGGCGTTACTAGATTAGAATTCAGGCAGGAATGAGCTCTAAAGCGGCCCCTAGACGATCAATATTATTGCACAATAATATTGCGAGGTGCTCCAGACCGTACAATATTATTGTCCAATATTTTAGCTGCCGATTTTCAGTGCACATTTGATTTTTGTGCAGTCAACATGTTAAGTGACACAGAAGCTGCGTGTGTGGCCATCGCTGTGGCTGTGTCTGAAGAAGAAGGAGAAAGCGAAGATGGATGAAGGAATGGTTCAAAAAAAGAGATGAGTACACTCATGGGAACTTATTAAATTACCTAAGAGTGAGTGAACCAGGCGACTTTCGGAATTTTCTGCGTCTAGATGGTGAATCTTTTGATGAACTGCTAAGAATGATTACCTCTCGAAATCAGAAAAGAAATACTACCTTGCGAGATGCTATCTCTCCATGTCAGCGTTTATCTATTACACTACGTTATTGCGCAAATTAGTGTGCAAAGAATTGATTTTTTTAATCACTTCTTGTTTTTCAGCTTCCGGATGTCTTTCTTTGTATTTGTCAACGAATAGGTCGTATTGTTCATTTTTTTGCTTCGGTTGCTGTACTCCTTACTCTTAACATTCCACAAAGCCGACAACGAGTGATAAACCTCTATAAATTCCAAAATGAACTTTCGTTCGTCATCTTTCACTTTAGACGACATCATGTTCAGCGCGCACCGATGTTCACGCCACTACGTCTGGGACAGAACTGAACGATATTGCGCAATACTGCCTACAGATGATACAACCTTTTCCACATTGTGCAATAAATATCGAACCATTTTTGATTGACACAATATATTGCACAACCTTTCGATTCGTAACATAGACGATCAATATTATTGTACAAAACTGAATATTGCACAATAATATTGACCGTGTAGGGGTCGCTTAAGGCAAGTGCCTGAGTAATGATAAGTAAGCGCTTAGTAAATTTTCTGAAACAAATAGGATATGTCAAACTAAGTTGGATGTAACATTAATTCTTATTAGTGTTTGCTCCTACAGAAGACTCACATTACGTTATTAAAGATGAGTTGTATTAAGCAATCTTGACAAGAATGAAGCGAATAGGAACGAATAGTTAATAGTTGCTGGTGACATAAACAGAAAAGTGGGACGAATAAATATTATGGATTAGTGGCAAAAATATTATCAATGAAATGTAGAAAAAATCCTTTACCTATGTAAACAATGCGAGCGTAAAATCCAAAATAGATTTTTCTGACATAAAACGACCATGAATGTACTTCGAAGATGCATTCTTCCAACAAAAATCAATTTATATATATAAAATTACAGGACAGACTTCTGTTTTTAGAGCAGTTAACAGTAGAATAATAAGAGGGGTAAACTGCAGATCTACTGACAGACGACGTTCTTTCTGCTTGTTGAAAACAAGACGAATAAGATGGAAATAATGAAAGCGAAGCAGTGAGTAGCGTAAGAGGCTTATATCAAAGAATACTTGAGCAATGTCTACAAACAGCAGTTCACAGTTACTGTATCGAATACATGAATGCACAAACAAAGGAACAACAGAAAGAAAACGCATATATAAAAACTGGTTAACGATTTGAAGCCGAAATTCTTCTAAATAACATTCGAAAATTCATTCAGTACCTCATAGCAGTTCTCCATTACAGAGATAAGTTGCTCCATGTTGTTCGAGCAAATAATCGCTGGTTACCCTGCGAATCATAGTGAGCATTCTGGACAAAATACAGAAGTATTGATTGTTAAAGCGAGCGCCACGTATCAATATCACAGAACATCAAAGGGTTGATTAAGGAATTGCCACTTTCATTCAACAAAGGTTCTTGTTCAGTGTCTGGATGGCGACTGTAGTTATTTCTTCAAGGGATGGGGTCGTGTTTGTAGTGTCTAGAATCTTGTACTGTAGATGGTCTCCGTTAAACAAACCTAACGACAGAGAAATGCTTTAATCGAACGACGAATGTAGGTAATGTGATTTTGTAATTACAAACACGCAACCAGTGGTCAACCAAAATTTTTAGAACTGTTCACTCATCGAGTAGAAACTCCGTTTTATTGGTGTCTACAGCCACGAGCTGCTCATTGTTCCACAAACACTCGTAATTTACATGAAGCTTCTTTTAGTCCGTTTTCATGAAGTTTTTAAGAAAAACAGCGAAATACAGACGAAGAGATCATAAAAGAAATGACGTCATCCACAAAGAACTACAAACAGAGCCAATATTGGAAAAAAATCCACAGATACAGAAGGAACTGGATCCAACATGTACGAAGAATGGACAAGAACAGATTGCCACATCAAATTTTGAAACATAAACCAATAGGATAAAGAAATAAAGGACGCCCTTTAAAAAAGATTCCTGGATGATTGAGGCCGGAACGGGTCACAAGGCTCAAAATCCTTGACAGCTAGATGATGATGATGATGATGTGGCTATCAAATCGACGTCTGTTCTGCTACCACGCGTTCGTTCCTCGCCTACAGCGTTTTTTGATCGAAACTGTTTGAGGCCACCTCCTAGTACCACCCGTATGAAACAAGCAGAGACGTCTTACAGGAAGCTACGAATATCACCCATGGGAAATAATGGTAAGCGCTGATATGCAGACCTCTATAATTTGTTTGTTTATATTACGCTGTTATGACCTATTTACATGAAATGCATACATTAACGCATAATGGAAGGGCCGCCCTTCTGTTTG